GAATTGCTTAGCTGAGAGACTGTTAGTTCCTTAAGAATAATTCTGCTCTACTACTCTGTTCAAAAAGTATCCGACCTTGGGCCAGGAAAACAAAGTTCTGTATCTGAGTGGTTAGAATACCTAATCCCCTTCAAAGTAGGCCCCTTGTGACTCCACGCACTTAGCCCAGCGGTCCTTCCATCGCTGGAAACAATTCTGGAAGGCTTCTTTGTAATTACTCTGTAATTCGGCTCAAGAATGTCATTAATTGACTCTTGAAACTGAGTCATACGTGGAAATATACGTAACTTCGTAACTTTAAGCCTCACAGATTACAGCATCAATCTGAGGCTGAGAATCTTTGCGAACAGAGACAGCTGCTGTTTCTCTGTGGACGTGCACAGTAGAATGAAGTTCTGTTAATCTGATCTGAATAGTCGCATGACACAATGAATGTTAATCGCGTCTGAAGGAACAGTGACAGGAAATGAAATAAGCGCAACCAGCTGTGCCTGAAATCTGTATATGAACACCCATACTCGGGAACGGGGGCAGCAGGATGTGTCAAAATTAAGTAACCACGTCAAACTGAATATAAAATATAGACCCAAATTTCCTTGACCTAGGCACTAGTTGGAGGTGAGTGGTCAGCTTCACGTCCCGGTCGCTATACCCCCAGGGTAAGATGCCCCGGTACCCATTGGATAGGAGGTTGGGTGGACCCTAAAGTCGGTCTGAACGACATGGAGAAGTGAAAATTCTTGACCCCACAGAGACTCGAATTCCGACACCTTGGTCGTCCAGCCAGTAGTCAGTCACTATACGGACTGCGCTATCCCGGCTCATTGAGTAGTAGGGAATCGAATAAAAAATCCCCTCAAAATTCCCCTCAACAGATTATTTGCTACACCCAAGGAAAAATATCTTCTACGCAGAATATCGGGTCAAAAACTGTACTCCAACCCTGCCACCAAACAAAACACTCCTACCTTTTTACCTTAACCCTGTAATCTCTAAAATTCCCTCAATATTCCCTCTTCCCCTTTGGAAAATACCTCTTCCTTTTATAGTTATCTTCTCACTAGATTGCTTTATTTACAATTTTTAAAATGTAATATGATTACACCTGTTTTCAATTTTAAATATTTAATGAGCGTATGACATTTAAGTCGGATCGGACCCCCCCCAAAAAAAACCTCCGTGGTTTTAGTCCGCAAGCGAACTATACCGACCGAGCGACCGCCGCTTGTCGGCGAAGTTAATGCCAACTTTAGCGGATGGAGGGTGTCACGTGGTCAGCGCAACGGATCCCCAATGCCGTTAATTTCGGTTTTCTAGACCGGAGTCGCCATTTCCTTGAAATAGCTCTTCAATTATCCTCACGAAGCTGAGTAGACACCGTTCCAGACCCACTACTTCTCAGAAAATCTGGTAGCGCCGGGAATCGAACCGGGGATCTCTGGATCTGTAGGCAGGAACTGTGACCACTAGACCACAGAGGCGGTCCAGATCGGACACAATTCAATTGAAAATCTGTACTAGCATCACAGTTTTATGGGTGTTCTGTCATCACTTGTATATTCCTCACGGATCAATTGATGGTGGCCTATTTGGGCCAGAACATGTTGTGAGTGGATTAAGAACAAGAACTTTTGGGAGGAACACCAACGAACACACAGACAGACAACCAAGGTGATGTCATAAGTTTCCTCCATTTTTTTTTCAAAATAAGGAAAGTAGGCTAAAAACATTCGTTTGTGTGACGGTAATCCCACCATTTTTAACTTGAGCATCACAGACAGGGTGCAAACTTACGGGGCTACGAAATCGAATCGTGACTCTTCTCTTTAGTATCTTTTTAGGTGTTAATCTTACCACAGAAAGGAAAAGATAAATACAAAGAAAATTATAATCTAATTAAAAAGCTATCCCCGTAACAGACCTTGGAGGTCCATAGGGTTGTGATACGTCGAGACTCCCACATTTTCTAGACTACTGGCTCACAGATGGCGGTGTAGTTGTCAGTTTTACGTGCCGGTCGCCCTTTACCCCCAAGAATATTCCTGGTACTCATACCTATTAGAGGCTGAGTCGACCCCAGGGCCATAGTGTGGCTGGAAGGGTTAGGTCTATTGAAAAATCCAATGTCCTCATCATGAATCGAACCCGCGACCTTTCAGTTTGTAGCACAGTGTCTCATCCATCTATGCCACCGCGTGCCCCCTTTAAAATGTAATGTTTAACTAAATATACTGGATGGGTGTCGAGGAATTCTGCGGTGGAAGCACGCAGTGTGGATGGTAGAGTTTTATGAGCCGACGTTTCCTTCAGTCGAGTTGCGTCTGATGCGATTACTATGATGTTATGCCATTATATGCCCGGTATCATAAATGAGACAATTGAAAGCACGGCAGATTGAGGCTACTAGAGACGGGCAGACAAGAGGTTCCCCACACTCGGTTAGCTTACATTTGAACATCTGTTTCAAAACATGCGCATTCGTCATACGTGATCCAATTAGGCGCACTCATTTAAGAATCGCGAATTGGGATGTAAAATGCAGCGCGGACCTCGCACAGTAAGTTCCAATTAAACTGTTCTTAGAGACAGACATGGTATCTGGCAGTGTGCGCCATTATAATGCTTCTTACGGAATTGCGAACTGAAGAGTATCATCTTGGTTCGATTCCCGGCGCTACCAGATTTTCTGAGAAGTAGTGGGTCTGGAACGGGGTCCACTCAGCTTCGTGAGGATAACTGAGGAGCTATTTCAAGGAAATACCGGCTCCGGTCTAGAAAACCGAGATTAACGGCCGTGGGGATCCGTTGTGCTGACCACGCGACACCCTCTATCCGCAAATGTTGGCACTAACTTCGCCGACAAGTGGCGGTCGCTCGGTCGGTATAGTTCACTTGCGGACTACAGGCCTCGGAATTTTGTTTTTTGTTTTATAAGACAGTATATTTGTAACCGTCAAAACAAAAATCAAAGTAAAAGTAATAACAAAGGTTATTTACGTTAATGTTGAACACAACATATTTCGGGCCTCATTGGGTCATCATCTGATGTATCTCAGTTTCCTTAGTTGTTCAATATTTTCAAATAAGGATCCATATTTTCTTCATAGGTAAAGAGTAAATTTATTCCTGTAAGAGTCCGTGAAGGCCCATAGGGTTGTGAGAGGTCGAGGCTCCCATATTTTCTAGACAATTGGTTCACAGATGGCGGTAAGGTTGTCAGCCTTACACGCCGGACGTCCTTTACCCCCCAGGAAGATTTCGGGTACTCATTTCTGTTAGAGGCTGAGTCGAACCCAGGGCCATAGTGCGGCTTGAGGGATTAGGTCGGTTGAAAAATTAACCTCAACAGGACTCGAATCCGCGACCTTCCGGCTTGTAGCATAGTGCCTCAACCAACTGTGTTACCGCGTACCCCCTATAATTTGAAGAAAGCAGTCTTCTGGGATTTGGCACCGTGTATATGTGGTATTAACTGACGTTTCGGAGGAACGTATCGCCTCCATCTTCAGGGTAGAAGAAAAAATATAAGAATTCTGCAAGCGAAGAGACCGTGAGAACCGGTAAAAGCAGACTGT